TTTGAGCTAGGGCCTCTGTGTATAATTCAGTCTAGTGTTGACCCCCATCATGTACTCTAGGCTAGCTTTGAACTCACAGTGATCCTCTTGCCTCAGCCTCTTTAGTATTTTGATTACAGACATGTACCACTTCTTTTTTCTTTTTTTTTTTTTTTTTTTTTTTTTTTGTTTGGTCCCTACATTCCACATTTCTTGAAGTGCTGGTGACCCTAGGCTTCTGCATGATTTGAGAGTGCAGCACTAGCTGGGCATGTTGTTTTCTACCTGACCTCAAGGAATCTGACTTGATCATGTAGTGGAAAGAAGAGAGTCTTAGGGCACCCTTTGGCTCTGCTATGGATTTGGGGCTCTGAGGTAGTAGCACATCTCCTTCAGCAGCAACTGGTTTCCCTTAGCACCTGTGGCCTTGCAGAAGAACTGGAGAAGGAGAAGTCGGAGGCACAGAAGAGCTCCCAGCCCAAGTCGGCCTGTGGAAATGTACGTATCTGGACCTTACAGTTTGTGACTCCCCGTGGTGGGGACTCCGTCCTAAACTAAGACATCTGCTTGGTTCTGAGAGTGCACCATGCACATAGTGCGAGCATAGGTCAGCACAAGGGGATGTGTGCAGGTGCAGACGGGGGAGAGGTCATCTCCTGGGAGTGGGTTAGCACCCACTGCTTGTGCCAAGGGAAGGGCTGTCATCATTTTCTTCTCTCCCACTCCTCCCCCTCCCTCCCTCCCTTACTCCTTCCTTCCTTCCTTCCTTCCTTCCTTCCTTCCTTCCTTCCTTCCTTTTTAGATAGGATATGGATTTGTAGCCCAGGCTCACCTTGAACTCATGGTAATCCTCCTGCCTCAGCCTCCCAAGTGCTAGGGTTATAGGCATTGCTCCTCATGCCTGACTTGTCTTTTACCTTGGGCTCCTTTGTTCCTGCCTCAGAGCAGGACTGGAGGTTAACAGCCATTTGGCTGAGTGTAGCTATGATTTGAAATGCTTAGAATAGAGGCACATGGCCTCCTAAGGAACTTCTCTAGACCATTTTTTTTTTTAAATTTTTATTTATTTATTAGAGAGAGAGAGAGAGAGAGAGAGAGAGAGAGAGAGAGAGAGAGAGAGGCCAGCTCAGCCCACCAGGGGGCAGGGCTGGCTGGCATGTGGTGCTGGGGGATTGAACCGCGGTCCCTGATGCTTTTGCTAAGCTTGTT